TCTTTTTTTTATTTCAAGAAAATTCCAGAAAATTCTCGCACGCGATTTAAAATCTTACAAAAAGGAGGAAAACCTCTCAATTCAGTTGTTATTTTAGTTAGTTTGTTGTTGTTTGTTGTTATTCAGCAAGGTGAATGAAATGCGCTAAAATCACGTCTCGATTTATAAGGGTTGTGTTTAAATACCCAAATAATATACAAAAAGCCATTGCTGCAGCGAAAGCCCAAAAAAAAAAAAAAAAAAAAAAAAAAAAGCAGAAACAAGCAATAAATTCCAACTTAAAGACGTTGACTTCCCCACGCAACCAAATAATACAAATAAATCAGCTTGGATAAAAAATAATCCAAATACTGAAAATGAAACTTGGCTCTTTTCATGGATTAAAGTACACATTAATAAAGCAAAACAATTCTTTCAAAAATTCAGAACTGCAAAAGCAATGACGAGTAAAATCGAAGTAGGCATAGCCGCTTTCGATTATTTTACGAGTATTCGCTTGGAATTCTAGTTTAATTCACTATAATTCCACTACTGCAACTTATTATTTCAACTCATCCTCATTCTGTATATATCATTCTTCAACTTGTAAAGTCTGTAAATAATTTTATTTACTTAAGATTTTACCTGTTTTGAACTTATTTTATTTTATGATTTTATGCTTCGAGCTCTAACTGCACTGCATTGGTTCTCATAAGCCATTTTTCCTATGGGCTATGTTTTAAAGCAAAATACAAAAATTTATAACAAATTAAGCAATTTTCTAGCTTAAGTAAAACTTTTAATGCACTTTGCTTACTTCGAAGCTGACCAACCAGGTGCCTTCTCAAGATCACATGACTCTCCTCTGACTGCCTTCACGCCAGCATACCGCAAGACGCAGAACATCCTTCGTGCAGACTTTACGAACTCATGAACTTTCATTTTCTTTGACTTTCGCCTCTGTGTGCTGATGCACTGATCTACATCTTTAATAATTTTAAACCTAGCAAATGTATAATGGTTGTAATTTTCATGATACTGGTAAAACCCTTGGAGGTTGAGGCCAGAAATAAAGATACGATCAAAGCTCATTTCAGTTGTTATTTTAGTTAGTTTGTTTATAAAACTGCTCTCTTGTTGACGTTAGCGAATTCGCGGATTAGCTTTCTCTAGCTGTTTTGAATTGAGTTCTTTTGAACGTTTGAGTAGTTAAAAGATAACTACTGTGAGATATTTTGTAATACTGCACGAATATCTGAGCGAAATTTAAGCATTTTTGTTGTGATAATAATAAATTTGTTTATTTTTCATCGAACTTGTGCATTCAATTCATAACGAACCCGTACGCACGCAACAATTTTTGGTGGCAGCGGTGGGATTTAAATGCCAAAAACAAGAGCAATGGAAGAACAGTTAAGGCAATTGATAGCAGCCTTTGCGTCGTTTAAAGAAGAGAGGAAACTAGCCAGGAAAAGATGGAAGCTGGTCAGCATCATTTAAAGAGGACTTGAAAGATTCTGTTAAAGCAGAGATGACGTCCGTTAAAGAAGTGATTAAACGGGACAAGAGCCGTTCAAGAAAAGATAGAAGCTGTTAAAGCAGAAATGAAGTGGGCCAAGAGGAAATTAAGAGAGAAATCACATGCATAATAGAAAACAAATTTGCAGCTATAGAAGACAGAATTGAAACGGTTGAAAACAGAGTTGGAGAAATTGAAGAAAAGGTTTCTGCCGTCCAGCAACAAATTGATGACAGGGTTCCTGCTGCCGTCACCAAAGAAGTTGACAGCCTAAAGAGAAGTGCATAGCGACGGCAGGAAACAATTCTGAAGGTTTTAAATTTCTATTTATGCCTGCTCGTCCCTCTCTTAAGCTATCTACATATGATGGGAGGACTTCCTGGCAAGTATATAAGATACAGTTTTCTATAGTAGCAGAAGCAAATGGGTGGGATCCCCAAGCTAAGGCCTGTCATCTCGCCGCTTCTCTGAGAGCAGACACAGAGGATATATTTCAGATTCTTCTCGAAAGCAAAAAGCTAGATTTCGAAGCTCTGTCGGCGCATTGGAGTTGCGCTTTGGGGAGAAATGTTAAAAGCTTCAATTAAAATCCCGACAACAGAGGCCCACCGAAACAGTTCAGGAGCTCGCCACAGATGTTGAAAGGCTGTCACATCACGCCTTTTCGGAGTGCCCGACAGAAACAAGGGAAATCCTGTCCCTGCAATACTTCATCGACGGCATCCGGGATCCTGAAATACAGAAAGCTCTGCAAATGGCGGATTTGAAGGACATAAAAAAGTTCCCTGTTGTACGCCGTAAAATTCGAGGCAGCTCAGCAAGCAACTGGTAGAGATCGCTATCCAGTCAGAGTTGTGCGATTCCACGAGCCAGTGGAGCAATTGATGGCTCATTTAGATGATTTAGCCAGGAAAGTCAATGCTTTGATACGGAGTAGGAGTGAGATTAAAGTTGGTCTAAGATGTTGGAAATGTGGTATTGAAGGGCACATACGACGGCATTGCAGAACACCCCAGGGTATGGATAATTAAATGGATGATTTGAAAAGACCAGTGAATGCCTTGAGACGGAATATTGGTGAGAAGAAACAACCGTAAAGTGCTGGAACTGCGATGTTGAAGGCCACATACAAAGGAACTGCAGAACACTACAGAGCACGGAAAATAAGAGAGGCGGGTTAAACAGACAATTAAATGCCATGGGACGGAAAAGGATTGTTAAGGAACCAAAGTGCTGGAACTGTGGAGCTGAAGCCACGTACGAAAGAATTGCAGAACACCCCAGGGTACGGAAATTGAGATCATTTCTCAGCAACGACGCAGGAAACAAATTAATGACCATATAGAGGAACGGAGGTTGCCAGATAATGAGAAACCTTGTTTTAAAGCGCTCAAGATTTCTACAGGGGGTGGCAACAGTAACGGACTGTCCAGTAATGGGAATATCGATGGAGTTCCTTGCAATATGATCATTGACACAGGAGCTAATGTTACCATCATTCGGAAGGATTTAGCTCAACAGTTTAAAGATTTGGAGCCATCCCGTGTTACCCTTTGGACTGCGTCTGCTGATAAGATCGACATAGCTGGGAAGTTAAACGTGAGCATCACGTTTGGAAGTGGCGCCTACCATCACACGGCTTATGTAGAGGATATTACTGATCCATGCATACTCGGATTGGACTTTTTAAGGAAATATAATTTTTCCTTAGACTTCAAAAACAACAAACTGCTTTCAGCATCTGATGACATGACTGTCCATCCTCAGAAGGGATCCTCACCTGGAAATGCCGACGCCTTGTCCGAAAGACCCAGCTCGGGAAGCTGCCGAAATCATACTAAACCAAACGCAAGACTACCAGCTATTCTCCATCTCAAATGCTCTTCGTTCGAGACCTTCGTCTGCCCTGTGACCACCTGTTTGGTCGCCCTACGGATGCGCCTTCATCGCCTGAGGAATACATCCAAGATGTCCAGGCCCGGTTTGAAGTGATGCACCGTTCTGCACGAAAGCGAGTTATCTTGGCGACAGAGAAACCGAAGACCCGATAGGACACAAGAGCTACTGAACATCAATTCCATGGAGGAGACAAGGTGTGGTTGTGGAACTCCCAATTCGACGAAAAGGACTTTGTCCGAAATTACAGTCACCTTGTGATGGTCTGTACACAGTCCTAAACAGGCTGAATGACGTTGCGGTTCGGGTCCGTAAGTCTTCAAACTGTAAACCTAAAGTCGCTCATTATGACAGGTTAGCGCATATGGCCATAGTACGTAGTGTAAATAATCGTAAATAGTGTAAGACCATGGTACTTTTTGTTTCTAAATGTGTATTTGGTATTTGTTTTGTATTTTGTATTTGATTTGTCTTTAGTATTTGATTTGTCTTTAGTATTTGATAGCATTTGATTTGTTTTAGTTATTGCATTTATTGTTCATGTTGTTTGTTATTGTAATGTAATGTTTATCATTGCATTTATGCCTTAGTTGTAAGTTTGGCTTCCTGTCCAGAGATAGTACTTCCTGGGACGTGCAGTCCTTGGGAAGGGGGCAGTGTTACGGATTTGGTATTTAAATAGCTAATGTTAGTTGAATTATAAATTAAATTATTTTATTTCCTATGCAGTGCAGCGCGTGACGAATATTAAAGGAAAGCTAAGACGGAAAATTAAAAATTCAAGAGCACGTGCATTTAGCATTTAATAAATAAATACATAAATCTCTCTCTCTTTTTTTTTTATTTATTTTTATTTTTTTTATTTCGAGAAAATTCCAGAAAATTCTCGCGCGCGATTTAAAATCTTATAAAAAGGAGGAAAACCTCTCAATTCAGTTGTTATTTTAGTTAGTTTGTTGTTTTAAGAATTTGTTTAGAAAACTGCTCTTGTTGACTGTAGCGAATTCGCAGATTAGCTTTCTCCAGCTGTTTTGAATTGAGTTCTTTTGAACGTTTGAGTACTTAAAAGGAAACTACTGTGAGATATTGTAATACTGCACGAATATCTGAGGGAAATTTAAGCATTTTTGTTGTGATAATAATAAATTTTTGTTCATTTTTCATCGGACTTGTGCATTCAATTTATAACAAACCCGTACGCACGCAACAATATTAACCCTCAGCTGAAGGGGCTGGCATATGGTACAATTTTAGAGGGGCGGCGTACGAATATTAGAGGGGCGGCCAGGTAGTTTTTCGAGCCTCTGCTTCGAGTTTGAAACTATTTAAACTTATACATTGCATTAATAAGGTGATTCGTCATAGTAAAAATGATATAAGAAAAAGAATAGCAGAAAAAAAGCAATAAAGATGGAAATTACAAATTTTTAATTAATTCAAAAATGGAATGCGCTGGAAATGTAATTTAAAGGTGTTTTAAATCGATCACAACTGAAAGAAATATTTCTTTCAGTTGTGAATATATATGTATTAAAATATATTTATAAAATAAAAAATAATAATATAAATTAAAGTTTAGTATTGCAAAACATTCAATCATTTTTAGGCGTTCAAACATTTCGAAGTTCTCATCTCAAAACTGGCTGGGAAATATGACATAAATATTGACAGAAAGCGTATAAACGATCGGAATGCATGGGAAGAGTATGGATCCCCTGTTTGTAAGATGTCGGGAGAAACAAAGGCAAGTCAGAATTTCTTCATTTTATTTAATTAAGAAGTTTTTCATTTAAAAAGTAGGTATAATTTGATGTGTAGCAAGATTTCCCTTTCTTTGTTATTGTTTAAAATACTATGTTTCGTGTCCTGTAATAAAAACAAACATACTGCTATCAGGTTTGTCATGTTTAAGTTGCTAGTCCGACGCTGTTCTGTCCAGTATGAGTTCTGAATGTATAAATCTCTCAATAAAGTATACAAAAAGTAGCTAAGTCAGGAAAAAGAAATGTTCAGGCACTGATTATGAGTTATTGAAATATCCTCTGTCAATGACTAAAGCCTGCAACACTTACACTAAAATGCATTATCCGGCTAGAAGTCTCGCTAATATGCACCACAGATGTCATTTTCGGTATCTTTCCAAGTTAAACTCAATCTAATTCATCTAGGAATTTGAAAATCAAGGTTTTTCTTAAAAAAGTTTTCATTTAATATAAGTGAAATATTTCCACATTGTTATAAAGGAAAAATTAATTTTTATAACTATTTTAAACTTTAACTTAAACTGAACTGACTGGTTGTGCCGGATAAATTTAACAAAAAAACAAAAAAAAAAAAAAAAAAAAAAAAAAATCAAATATCAAATAATTCACATTCAAAACAATAATAATTCATAATATATCCAAAAGATCGACATTCTTATAAACATTCGTATATCAGATCTATCAATCAATCAATCATATAGTGGTAGTTACAATCTTAAGTTTTAGGTTTGCGTTGTGAGTAACCTATGCAAAAGGAAAAAATCAATAACCCCAAATTCAATTAAACTTCCATGTTTTCTTAAAAGCCTCCCGGCTCAAATAAATGGAGGGACATGACATACCACCAAACAGTAAATAATATGACAACATAAATACATATCAAACACATTTATTAATTTCTAGAATATTCAAACATATGATAACTAGGTAAAATGATCAGTCCCCTACAAATTAAACCTTAAGAGGTAAATAACATATATATCATTTTAAATCTTATACTCAAGTTAGGTGTACTAATTTTTTTTAACATTACATAACTCACAATTTAGGCGGTTGTACCACACGTATATTAATATAGTATCATTACTCGGCTTACAATTTAAATACAAAAGACAGAAAAAAAAAATTCATTCACAGGGTGAAGTTCATAGATTAAATTCCTATGCCATCATCGACTGATTAATATGGAGTGCTGATAGTGCTGATGATCGTCCCTAACTCATTGCGTTCACCATTCGAAGAGATCGAGGAATGCCATCATCGACGCATTAATACAGGAGTTTTAGATAGTTCAACAGATCGTCCTACTCATTTCGTTGACCATTCGAAAGATCGAGAATGCCATCATCGACTGATTAATACGGAGTTTTAGATAGTTCAACAGCTAGTTCCAACTGCTTTTAAATCGGAACGCTAACGCTACAACAGAACCTGTATTAAGGTAACCTCGAGAACGTCAAATTAAAGTTCTTGGGAAAAATATAACGAAGCCGCAGCAAAGCTATATCTTGCATAAGCACTTAGTCTCAACTCGAGCAGAATTCTCATCAGCTGAAAGCCGACAGAAAATTCAAGACGCCGCCCGCTGGTACACGGCATTCGCGAGAGCAAGACCCGCAAAGGGGTCAAGCCCCCGCCACTTTGTTCTCCTCTTACTCTTAGCTTGAAAAAATCAGGAATTAGAATGATCTCTAGCCTGGTGCAAGCACCCAGGAAATCTCGGTTTCTCCGCCTCTGTGAGTTCATAGGCTTTCAAAAAAATCATAAAATTATATCTTACCAATCCCGGAATTTTATGTTATCTAAATTGAGAAAATGACACACCCATGACGAATCAAACACCAGAAAATCTGACAATGAAATCCGAAAAACATCTGCACACATAACGTGAGAAAAAGAAGTAGACCCCTCAACTAACAAGTGAAACTAGCTTTTACGAGCATCCAATTATCTAACTTAGTACACCTCCCACTGTCTTGAAGTTCGCAAAACTGCAAACTTTAACAAAGCGACAAGACGAACGATTTCCGTTTCACATGCATTAGCTAAAAAGGGCGACACATATACCTTACTGCCTCCATTGTTGGAAAAGACCGTAAACCAGATGTGTGTCCTCGCAACCGTCTCTCGCCTTTGTCACAATTCCAACTCAAGAATAATGAGTTAAATAAAACCTTAAGAGCTTAAGAATACTTTTTTTCCAGATTAAAATACACATGAATACAAAATAAAAATATTAGAATAATAATAACTTAAAACACATATTAAAAATTGAAATTCGCGACATAACATATTCCTATTAGAATAATAATAACTTGAAACACATATTAATAATTGAAATCTCGACATAACAACATCTACAACAATCTTTTCTCCCACTGTTTCCGAACCTGTCCATAGAATTTTAAGATTAGAGGTAAGTCATGGTTAGTTTCAATGATTTCATTCGCCTAATGGTTTTGAATTTGCCCTGAAACGTTTGTTAACTGAGTTATCAAGTAGTTAAGCCTTCAACAGAACTAGATTAAAGCCATACGGGCCCCTAAACAAAATGCTTCTGCAGCATTCCTGTGGCATCTTTCTTTGTTTTTATACCAGAAAAATTAGTTGTGAGGAATAATGGGAAGGTTTTCTGAGCACCTAAGATTTGATCCTAGGCCTGAGTCTTGTTGCCCTATGAGGTAATACGCACTGGCTTTCAGGAATCACAGCTACAGAGATTCATCATTCATATACAGCTAGCTTCAATTTTCTATTTACATAACTTTCTTTGAAATTTCTGTACGCGCTTAATACTAACAAACGTTTCGTGACAGAAAGATGAATTTTAGAGAACATTAGGCATTTTATTGTGGAACAGGAGATGTGAAAAATATGACTGTCTATACCAGAGCTCGAACTCTGGATATTCCAATTGCAAGCTGGACGTGTAACTAGATTACACCACGAAAGTACTCTGTATACCTTACATTATCCTCCAATTAAAAAGTGACCGGGGAAGGATGAGACCCAGTCACCAGACCCTAATGGTGAGAAATTATCATTCATCAGCTTTGAGTTCGGGGGCCACTTTTTCCGACCATTAGGCATATTATTTTGGATCAGGAAATGTCAAAAAAGGGCAGTACTCAGCATTTTGTTTAGGGAAGTTCGAGCTACGTACCTTATGATTACTAGCTGGACGTGCTTTCCACTTCCATTACGAAGGCACATGGTAAGGAAAGAGAAAAACCTTGCAAAATGACTATCAACTGTCGTATTTTCAGTAAAGAATCGATTGATATTTAAATTCATTTTCTTCCAGGAATATATTTTTGCCTCAATAGCTACTGAGAGCTTCGAAAATGTGAAAAGAACACGAATAGATAGTACAATAATGCTCATGTATTCGTTGATTCAGTATCTGCAGTTTAGGTGCTAGAGTAGAAAAATGCCATAATTTTCAGTTTTCGGAACACAATCGAACGATGGTGCGCAAACCGAAACAGAGTTCACTCACACCGAATATTGTCTTCCTATGCAACAATACGAGCATCTCCAGGCGATGTGACTCAATATATGGAATGGGAATGGGCAATGAGGGTATCTTATACATATTTTTCAAGTTACAACCCCCTTCCATCCAGATTCTGCAGTTAGATTTTTAACTTGAAGAAGGAGTTCGGCAATCAGTGGTCAGAAAATATTACTTGACTTATCTTTGCTTCCATAACCCACAATTCTTAAACTTTTTTTTACCCTTGCTTCTAATTTCTACCTTATTTCTACTAATTACGTCGTCTCACCTGCTCTTAAAATTCTTATTTACCATAACAAGAGTCATAAAAAGTAAGATTACTCATTCTGTTAATGCTAGAAATCTTTAGTGTGCTGTACGCTTATGTAACAATATCGTATTTAGTAACCTTTGCTCAACTAGCAACAAGTCTATATATATACTCTAGTACTGTACTCTGCAGGGTATTATGAAATTTGTGTGCTTTCACACGTTAGAAACTGGCTTTTTCGGACAGGTTTCCGTGTAGATGTTTTTTATATTCGCCTTGTCAAGGTACCTTCCTTTGTTTCCTTCTTCTCAATAGTTGTCAGTTCCCATCCTTTTACGGAATCCACAGCTCAAGACTCTGTAAAGTCAGGCCAGCCAGCACCCATTAAATACATAAAGGTTACGGCACGTTTCCTAAGAGCAAGGTGTGACGTCAGTGTTAGTAGGGATAGCGTTTCACTTAACTACCCTTCAGCTCAAGTTTCACTTAGCTCAGGAATGTGGTGGGTGGATTTCCGGAGTTTTGACTGTTACTCGGTGAATAGGCATTCATTAGAACACTGCCGATTTTCTCTTGTAGTTTTAGATGTTTCAAGAATTCGCCATTTTATAGAAGTACATTTTATTACTCTCTTTCCTCAAAATCTGGATATGGTGCACACGTGCTGTGTACTCAACTGTAAGGGAACTAACCCAATGTTCACAAAGTGCAAGTTTTCTCTTTTCCTAAAACGCAAAGAATTGGATTAATCCTATTCATAGAAAACATTTTATACCGACGAAATTTTTGAGAGTAAATTGCTTTTTTTAAAATGAAGGAGATTATATTTATCTGTGCTAAAAACATATTTCTAAAATATAATATAATTACCATGAACTAAAGCGAGTACATATATTTGTAAAAAGAATTTAATTTTATTGTACGAACAATAAGTGATTACATAAATATGATGACCTATACTAACCATTTCATTTACAGTAGAAAGTACTGTTTATTAACATGCTAATCATTTAATTTATAGCAGATGGCATTATTTATCATCATGCTAATCATTTAAGTTAAGGGTCATGATAGTGATTTAAGTTAAGCGGTGCAAACTGATTTACAGATGAAAATGCCAACAAAGTCTCTGTGCAGAATGTACTTCGTTTGCATTTGTTTTATACACTCTAATGTATTTCCTAGTACCTTTTAAAGTATGTCTGGCTATGTAGCTCTTCGTGTTCATCATATCACGTTTCACTAATTAATGTTATTCCCATACATAAATTATATATAACTGACTCCTCCCTCCAAAAATACGACCAAATGTTCACAGAGTAAAAATTGGGGGAAATATTATGAATTGGTTAGCGTCCACTGTTAATCCACAAGAAGCAAAGTGTACTAATTATCTACATATCTGTAAAATTGGGTATGTGGGCTTCTTTTTTGGGGTATGCTGTTTTAGCGATAAAATAGCATAAACATTCCGATTTTCATAAAATAAAAGCGGGGCATTATAATGTAGTTTTTTAATTGAGAAGTTTATCTTAAAAGCAAATTCTAAAGCAGATAGAATAGGTACTTCGGAAGAAGCTCAAATATACTCTGTAGTTGAATACAATCATTCCGATAATTCGTTTTACATCAGCCTGAAAATCAAATTAAAAGATATACCATGATTCCAAAATATCTTAAAGTAGAACAAAATCTGAAGCAATGGTTAAAATGTTCTTGAGAATTAAACTAAGTTCTGAAGGAATTGAAAAACATCATTTACCACTGTATTTTTGTCTTTAAATTGATACTTCAATTAAAAAAAAAAAAAAAAAAAACATGAAAATATTCCCAGTATGTGCAGTAAATTATATCACTGTCGTTTTGGGGAATCCAGATGAAAGTTCAGATAACATGTCCCACTGTTTGTAAAATACGTGAACAATCTGCCGTTAGAATACACAAGAATTTCTTGTTGCAGTAAAGATAATACAAATCGTAATTTTGGAACAAAGCAGTCCTCTTATATTAACATCCTCGCATTAAATGAATGCCTTGTTGAAACTAATTACAAAGCTTGCACATAGCCAAATCATCTGTGGGAAACTCAAATAGACCATGAATCAAGAGTTCGTTCAATATCTATACAGCATAAGTTATTTAACAGGGTGGTCATAAAAAACTTCCGCGATATATGAACCTCTAGCGCCCTATCAGCTGAACCATTCGAAATGAAATTTCAAATATTGCTATTTGAAGGTACGCACTTAAAATTGTAGTAAGTTAAAGCAATATCTCACGGTTACGGTTACAGTGAAAACATTTCGAAATTTCCGAATGCCAAATTGATCAGCGCATTGAAAAACTATAAATGGCGTTTAAATGATAAACGTATGACGGAAACTCCCGGCGTAAAATATTTACAAAGAAGAGCATTATAAAGGGCCAGTGATAACACAGAGAGGAGGTGCATTGACACACTTTGCATAATTCACAGCGATATACAGTAAAAACACCAATCACAGAACACCATATGCAAAGGACTGCTTGCGGAAAACGCTTAATAAGCAGTGTTAGAAGATGGTTTCTTCAACTAAGTGTTGGAACGTGCCAGCAAAATAACGCTTACAGGGAAACAACGAGGTGAATTGATAAAGCTGGTTTATTTGAACGTGGAGAATATTGATGCAGCTAGTGAGAGTTTATCATCGAAAATCATAAGCTAAGACAAGGACCATGTTCCTTGAAAACTGCACTTAATTTTACAAAAGCATTTGAACAGACTGGAAGCACTTGTCATAGACCGTGATCTGGACTACCATGTGTTTGTGCTGAAAATGTTGCGCAAGTGCATAATACGATTAACAGCATGTCCATTGCATACTGCAAAAAGTGTCGCCGGATGTATTGGAAATCACAGTCTTCAAGCTCCTGCGCTCTGTTCTGCGGATGTTTTCTTATCGATTCCAGTGCATCCAAATGTTGCAACCTGGAGAAGAGCAAAAGCGAACTTTGAAGCGACTTTGAGAATTTTTTTCCTTATCAGGTGTTATGAAGATAGCAGGTGGCGGCGGCAGATATTATGGGCAGCTGAGGTTCATTTCTCCTTAACTGAAAACGTAATCTCCAAGAATTGCATTCACTAGGCTGACGAAAATCCTCACGTTGTGGCACCAGCGACTTTATATATACGAAGCTAAAGTGACTGTATGGTGTGGCACAACAAGCACATTCGTTCTCAATAAGTGCTTATTTAAGAGGTCACTGTCCCAAATTTCAAAACTTACTTCATCACAATTGCGCTGTAGAGACATAATGTCTCTACATGTTAATAGGAAAACATGTTAATAGGAAAAGCCGGAGAGGTAAAAATTTAGCAACCGCCTTCGCCGAGAATTGAACCACGGACCTCTGGAATACCGACCCAGCGTGCAGAACCACTTCACCACGAAGGCGCGCTAGGAAGGCGGGAGAAATACTTATAATCATGTCAACATGTGGAAGATTACGTATTCAGAATGCAACCGAATTCTTATACTCGTATGATGCAGATGTGTCTCATACGTCGCACATACATGGAATGGACAAAATATGTAAACACCTTGTGAATTCAGTGTCAAACTAAGAGTACTTTTTAATGAAATATTAGGTGTCGCGGCGTTTGACTACTGACGCCACCTATACACTTCGTACTGGCTAAACAGTCAGTTGTTGTCGAGTACTGTATGTAAGGTTGTCATTGGCATATGTCAAGTTAACAGACTAACGTGGGCAAATTGTTGAGCACGTATGTCGGTGCTTCCGTAGAGGAGCCGAGTGTTTAGTGTTCAGAGTACTGTATCGAGTTTATTCCGCATATTGAAGAGCGGAAAACACAGCTCTAAATCACGCGACGAAAGTGTTCCTGATTGATTGTGACAGACGATCCTTAAGGCAATTGGCGAAAAAAAAGAAGACACGCGCAAAAGTTACTGCTGAAATGAATGTTGTGTTCCCCCCTGTGATACCAAAACAATTAAGGGAGCTTCATAAACAGGAATTGCTGGCCGTGCTGCAATTGAATCCACTCATCCGAGCTAATGCCCGTAACAGGAAAGGGTGTTAAGTCATAACCTGACTATAGACAGTGGAAGCGAGTATATGGTCGACAGTCTTCTTTCACATTGTTCCCACTTCTGGCCGAGTTTACGTCTGAGAACGCATCTCAAGCTAATACCGACTGCTGTTTCGAGATGCACATGGCGGGGGTCTGTTATGGTTTTAGGCAGCCATATCGTGGGTTCTCGCTAGCCCCACAGCTGGGCAGGGCACATGACTGCCAACTTATTGAACATTTTGGCCGATCAAGTCATCCCATGGTACAAACTTGTTCCCCCGATGGTGATGGTGTCGGCCAAACGACAACCCCCTGTCACACACTCACTCCAGGGCTGTTTTCTGAGCACGAGGATGATGGTCCCATCTGCCCTGGCCACCACATCACCAGACCTGAATATATCGACCTTTGGGTCTACATTGGAACGGAAAGTGCATTCTCGTTATCCACCGCCAACATCGTTATCTGAACTTGCACCGTTTTTTGCAGAAGGGTATAATTTCCCTTGGCAAGCATCAAGAACTGTATTAGCCATTCCGACAAGACTGCAAGCTATTTGGATGCAACGGGTTTTCCTACACCATATTAAGCAAAGAAACTTTTTTTTTAAAGGTTTTCCATATTTTGTCCAACCCTGTAGTTAACTATATTGGAATGCTAGAACTTTCATGAACTCCTTTTAAAGACTACATCTCTTGTGCTCTTTTCCGTGTTGTTTAAGTTTTTAATTTTTTACTTTTGTTCTCATGTTCATGTATTCTGATTCTTTATAAATATTTGTTCTTTTTTATTATTTATCATTGTTCTTGTGTGATACTTGAGCTCTTTTATATGCTTGGATTGATCTTTCCAATAAAGCCATATGTAACAATAACACATTTTCTTTCATTAGTTTGGTTAGATTGATGTACAGTTGAGGTTACTGCTGAGCAATTTTAGTTTTTCTAAATGAATTTTAATTACGGTATTCGTTTTGTGAAAGGAGAATTTCGCGTTATATCTCATTTTTCTTCAGATATTTATAGCTGAACATCTTTTATTGGTATAAGAATTCATCTTATAACTGCAGTAAAGATTCAAGTTCATTTTTATCTGGCCTGGTTATTTAGGAGATTTTAATGAATCTGTATCACATAACAGTACTCATAGTTTAAGCATATAGTATTTGTAGAAATTTCGCTGGTTCGTATTAAAATTTTATACTTGTGCTTAAAATTCCAAAAGGTGAAATCATTGGTAAGAATTTTAGTTTCTAAATTTCAAAATGATGCTTTCCAGATCATGTTAAAATTAATAATTCATTATTACCTTCACAGGCCAAATTGTGTAGTGATTGGTTAAAAAACTGGACAGCCATAGTATCGGTACGTATAACACTTTTATATTAATACAAAAAAACCTGTGTTATGTTGTAAAAATGTGATAACTATTACTAATGGTACACTTGTGCAAATTGTAAAATAACGAAATCCAAATATCATTTTACGAAGAGATATATTCGTGTTTATGAAACAAGAATTAAGAATATTAGTAAAATTTGAATTCTTATACCATTGTTAATAGCAATTTAGTCATAGGTTCCAAGAGGTTAACCTTTAATTTGCATTTTTGCATGTAAGATTCTCCCTTGTGTAATTCTCAATTACAGTAGAAAGTGACGAATCTTAATAACTAATTAGCGAATAATCGCTTAAGTTCGTGTGA